GACAAGTGGGATATCTGAATAACGCCCATATCAATAGTTGTGGCATCTCACTACAGTTCTGGGCAAGCCATTTGTCCCAGGGAGCTGACACAGGGTGACAGAACGATCTGTTGTCTTTAGTTACATTTACTTCCAAAGTACTTGATTGTCTGCTGTGGTTTACAATGTTTCTTGGAGTGGAAGAGCAGCAGCAGAAGGCAAACAGACACTTTCATGATTTACATGCCTGCACAACTACAAGCACAGCAACTTTTTAGCTCCCATAAGTCTTAGTTCTGTGCCGGCATTCTTCCTCTTTCCATCCTTCTCCCTCACTCTCTAACCCCGATTCTGAGCTGGAAAAGATCTTATTTTTACGAGTAGAACTTAAAGAGAAACAGTGAAGTTGCAACATGCCTGAAAGTTCAGGAAAGAAAACACATTAAGTTGGCAGCTCTTTTTTTCCCCTCAGGCTTCACACCCTGACCTCAGCGTCGTCTCTCAGCACAGAGCTGTCCTTGTGTAGCGCATACACTGAGCCTGTAGGGTGTCACTGTGGCACACCTGCCACAGCATCAGGATTCCTAATTTTTATTCTGCTTGAACAAAAAATCTCATGCTACAATTTTATCATTATAGAATGACTGAACACAGTAGTTCTCTTCCTTACTTGTTTCTAAACAAATACTGTGTATTCTTCAGTCTTGAGCTGTGAAACCTCAGGCAGAATATTAACTTGTAACCACACATAATCAAGTCTTGCTTTTTGAGCCTACCCCCATTGTGGAATAGAAGCTGTACTGCTGGTGTCAATGCGAAATCAAGAAGAAGAGGCACTAGAACGAATGTACATCTGTCACTAAAGGACGCGAGTTTCCTTCAAAATGTTTGCATCCCAACTCTCTGGACAGTGGAAGTAGTTATTGGGATTTCCTGTCCCCAGCGAGTCATTACGGAGTGGTACCCAGGGCAAACACTTGTTTTACAGACCTTTAAGTGGTGATATTTTTCAAGATGCGGTCTGCTCAACGAGCCTTCCAGCCAAATCAGGAGGTCCTTGGTAGGCTGCCATACAGAGGAGCTGTGTGTTGCTAGTGCAGTTTCTCGTACCATAAGTACATAAAAGAGCATATAGCTTTTCTTTTAACTGTATGTGCTGATTGTTAAATTAGCTTATTGATAAACTGAGCAGCAGTGCACATTACCCGTGCCTCCCCTCTGGGGACCATTGTTGTGTCACCTTTCTATTCTGAAGAAATTTCCAGTGCTGCGTAATTGGCACCATTGGGAATCAAAGGGTGCAACAGGCAGGAGATGATCCTTCAGAGCTGCTCTGATGGTGCACAAGCTGGTGTGGGGCTTGGGGCATGGCCATCTCATCAAGTGGTGGAATGATGTGAGAGGGAGGTCAGGAAACGTTGTTGCTGGAGGGAAATGGCAACCAACAGCTCAGCCACAGAGTAAAGCAAGAGTAGCATTTGTAACTGGTCACTAGCAAGGTAGAGGATGGGAGGGCAGAGAAAAGAACAGAAGAAGGGGGCGTTTCATCTCCCACATAATTGCTTACAAGCTGAAGAATTAGAAAATACAGAAATACTTGCTTTTTGTTCTACACTCTTCCACCAAACAGGATAAACAGATTTAGCATCTAGTGCTCAGAATGTCTGTGGGACGTGATAAAGTAGGAGTTTGTCCTCACTCCTCATTTAATGCTTTTTCTGTATCTGTTTTGAAGTCATTATTTTCACCAACCACTTGCATATGTGCTTGCATAAGCTATAGCTTGATATAGTACTATAGATTCTTCTAGTGTCCAGCAGATGTATCTTGTTCCAGCCTTCTGTACCCAGGGGTTCCAAACAGCCATAGTGGAATTGCCTCTACTTTCAGCGCGTGCGTGTGTGTGGGACAGAGAGCCCAGGTATCAATGCGGTTGTGAAGACTGCACTCCAAAAGAAAGCCTTCACTCTCTCCAAAAGAAAGTCTTAAGAAAAAGAAGTCTTAAGAAACTTCAGGAGAAAGTCTGAAATTCCTCTTTCCTTTCCTCTCCCTGATGATTGAAAATGGGCTTCAGGTTTGACAGAGCTTTTCAAGGGAGAAATGAATTTTCCAGGGAGTGGCTTAAGAAGTACAGGCAGATGATGTTTCCCAGTAGTGCCCTTTTTGGAAGTTCCCCCCAGCCTAAGAAGCAAGAAACCGTGCCACACATAAGAGGGCTTTATGCCTTTGTTGTGGCAAGTTAGCAAACGCTGCTCTAGCCCACTAGCCCTGCTAGACTCTACCTTTCTTGTATCCCTTCTTGACCTCTGTTCTATGCACTTTTATCATCACTCACTGTGCTCATACTTCTGCTATCCCCCAAAGGAGGACCCAAAAGCAAAGGCCAGGAAAAAGGATAAAGTAGGGACTGGAGTACTTCACCTGGAGAGCTGCATGTTGCCTTAGAGGACAGCATCATCCTGGCTCACCAGAGGAGAAACCCTGTCTGCTACTGCAAATTCAGGGTTACGTGCCAGAGGACGAGCTTTTCCCACTGTCATCAGGAATGGGAGAAAACCTTGTGGTGGCTCAGGATGCAGCGGGAGATATTTGAGGGCAGTGAGAGAGGAACACAGGAGAGTTGTGGTTGAGGGCCACTGATAAATGGAGATGTAACTGGAGTGCTTGCTTCCCTGCGTGGTACAGTTTTCATTGCTATGAAGCAGCAGGCCGCTAACTCGGGGTTAACAGAGGCTTTTTGTGGCGAGACAGAAAGCGAGAGTGTGTGGGCCTATTACAGACTACAGTGGGGTAATTTGAAGGCAGGCAGGTTAAGACTTTGATCTACTTCTTTTCATTTTTAATCCATTTGCAAAGTCCGTGTAAACAGAGCTGTGAAAATGGAGTGTGGTTTGGTTCTGCCATGAGCAAATTTCACCTCAGCTCTGCGTCTGTCTCCTAAGCGTTGGCACTGTCTGAAGGACAGGTGTCCTCGGGAAAAAATACCTGGCAGTGCCGCTTCCACAAATGATGCTCATCATCATCCTTCCTCCAGTTTTTTTCTCTTGTCACTTTGTGTCATAGTATTTTACATACGTTTTTAATTTAACGTTAAACACTACTCTGGTACTTCATTGGGAGTTTCTGTACTCGTTTACTTTTAATTAATAGCTTCATTTAAAGTCAGCAAGACTTCTCACATGTGCTGAAGTTAAGCCCATGCTCAGCATAACTGGTGGCTGCATGAGAGCGAGCCCACTTGCCCCTGGGCTGCAGCGTGCAGGACCCAAGCCTTGCCTTCAGATGGGGTTGTGCTTTCGGAAGCTCGCCTTGTGCTCAGGCTTTAAGGAGAAGTAGAGAAAAGGGCATGCACTCATTTGAGTTTGCATGCAAGTCACTAGCCAGGTTTTACTGGGGGCTACCAGGCTTGTCTGTGTATCTTCTGCTGACCTTGTTATGGCCATCACGACACACTTACCAAATGGAGCTGTTGCCAGGCAGTCACATTAACGAATGGCTAGTGTTAATTTGCTCTTTGAAAATGAAGAAATCAATACGTTGATCCAGTCGGAAATCCCTTTATTCACAAAACAGTCTACCCCAAACCCCTCCACATAATTAAGGCTAAAGCCAAATTTTGTTTGGGTGAAACGCACAATCTGTCTGCTCCCTAAGCTGTGCTGAATGAAGTTCTCCCCTAATGGCTCAGGAAGCAGCTGTCACGCTGTTGCTCTAATAACCATGAGACAAAATGATTAGATTTCCATCAATCATTTAGCATTATCAGAATAGGTCATTTTAATAAAATGTTATCATAGGATCAGTGCCTGGCACCTTAGAAAGGAGAGGGGCGGTGATGGAGAGTCATCTCGTGACAGCCTTTGAGTGATCTCCCTTGCAGGAGATGCTGGTCCAGATTAATCCCACAGTCCCTCTAAATCCACCGTTTTTCATGTGGGTGCCTGATACCAGGATCTTTTTAGAGTAAACACATTCCTGTAATCAACTCAAGTGGCTTTTTGGTTTCAGCAAGTGTCGCCTTGTTCTTGCACTGTACAAAAAAAATCACCAATCATTCATCTCGGGGAAAATCCTCAACAGGTTGTACGCCCTGGTTTCAGAAGCCATCAGAGAGCCAGAAGTTACATGCCCAGCAACACGGATGGCTACCAAGTTGGCCTTCTGAAGATGTGAAAGGATTTCATGGGAATGTTTAAATGTATATATTTTTCCAAAACCCTACTTGGTACCTGCCTATGTCTTTAAGCCACTGAGTACCTTTAGAAACCTGGCCCCTTGGCCCTCTTGGTTGAAATGTTCATGTTTTCAGTGTTCTACCAACTTGCCATGTCCCTTCGTAGTCATCTCCACACTGCATCCAAGGTGTCTTGCCAGTGTCTTTCCCTCTGCAGAGAAGTTTCACAGCTTCAGAATAAGCTGGACCCTAACCCCATTTTTAAAGCCAGGTGGACCCTGTCTGTTGACAGTGTGTCATACAAGCAGGAAAACTAAGAACTCCAAAGTCCGAAATCGTGGCTCCTCGCTGCTTCTCTTGAGCAACCTCCTTCGGCTGTCCTTCAAGGGTGGTGGTCAATGTCAAACACTGATGGAAGATTTGTCCAGCCTTTTGGTGATACTGAGAAAGGGTGATCATGAAAAATGGAGAAAAGCTGGAGGATCCTTCCGTGCTTCACCTGGAAATACGCTTAACAAATAGATGATGTACTGGGTTTCTGTAAATCAGACTTGGGCATTGTTTTTCTTTGGACAGAGGGTTATTACTTTCCTGTTTGGGAGCAGCTAAGCCAGCAAGGCAGCACACTCCAACCTTGGCAAGGGAGAAGCATTTTCAGGCAGGGTCATGGTGCAGCTTATTCCGTGCTATAAGTTTGAAGCTTCTGGGTGTAAACAAATCAAAATTGCTTGTCAGTGTAAGCTGTTGTTGGGTTTGGAGGTTTGCTTGTTGCCTTTTTGTTGTGGGTTTTTTTTTCCTATGTGCAGCAGTCTCACTGTCTTTTCTTCTTTTTCTTCTTCCTCTCCAGGCCCTCAAACTGACACGAGATGTAGAGAGAGAACCCTTTGCCAAATCTGCTGTCAGCAAGTGGACAGTGATACTGTTTACAGCTTACGACCTTTGTGAACCCTGCATTATTTTCCTAATGAAGCAGACTGTTAATAGGCCCCTTACCGGAGTGAAGATCATCCTTTTTTTTTTTTTTTTTTTTCCTTTTTTCCCTCTTTTTTTGTTGGGAATTGAACTCATTCTGAAGTATGCAAAATCTTCCTTTTCTGGGATGGCCAAGCACCTGCTGTGGAGACAATGTTCAGCACCATCCTGTTGAGAACACACTGTGTAGCCTTTACAGTAGTTACTTGTCAATGAGTATGTGGTGTTTCAATATATTAATGGTTTATGGGATGTTTTTAAGTTGGCTTTTCTTTTTGGAGGTTTTCCCCATCTGCCCACCCTCCCCCCTAAAACCTCCAGTTTGATTTCCTTAGATTTTTGACCATATTTGCTTTCTCTCCTTGGGGTATCTGAAGCACTGCGCACGCGCAAGGAAAAGATCATAACCCAACACTGCGCAGACGCGAGGGTTTTTTGAATATGCAGCGTTTGTTGTACCGATCAACTGGCTGAATTCCAGAGAGAGGGTGATGAGTGTGGTCTGTTGGTTTGTTGGGTTGGTTTGTTTGTTTCTTTCTTATTCTTTCCTTCAATTTAATGGTACACCCCCTGTTTTTCCGTAAGCATCACACCAGGGCTGACTGCAAAACAAGGGAAGCCAGCGAGTTTGCCTCTTGGCTCGTGAGGATGGACTGATGGTGGGTGCCGTTGCCCGCACGTGCAGCGACACCAAGGCAGGAGCCCGTTCACCGCCTGCGGGAGCAGGCTCCCCTCCTGCCTTCTGTTAGGAGGGCTGCCCCTCCGGCCGCAGCGAGCTGTTAAGGAGATAGAAGCTGAGCTGCTGGACAAGTTGAGCATAGCCACCTGTAAAGATGTGTTTGGAAAAGCAAAAATTGAGGGCAATAACGCCGCTTCGCAGAAAAGGGAAGCGTAGAGGCTGGGCATCGGCAGGTGACTTGCAGTGGCAATGCCAGGAGCCGAGGCACAGGTCGTTGCGGGGTGTGTTACTGCATCAGTGATCCTTTGGTTTTTTGTTGGTTTTTTTTTTGTTGTTTTGTTTTGTTTTGGACATATCCTTGATTCTTTTTTCCTTCTCATTATGTATAATCTGTTGTGGCAGAAGAAGCAGGAGAGGGAATGGCAAGGTGACAGTATCATACAAAACGGCTTTTCATATGGGTATAGATTGTAACAGGATAAAGGACACTGAAAGACAAGGCAGTTTTATATATTTTGCTTCTAAGATTTTCTTTTGTAAAATGAATAATAATAATAATGAATAAAAGGTATGGTGCTGTATAGATCCTCTCTATAATCTGGAAAGTTTGATTACTTTTTATTAGTATCTTGGGGGGGGGAGGGATACAAAAAAAGCGGGGAAAACACCAATGGTACATAGGAACTTGGTATGAAGAGGTTCTGAATAGGACAGTGTATACATAATTCTCCAAAGCGATATATGAAGTTTTTTTCTTTGCATAAAAGCATTATGCATATAAATATATAAATATATTTTATTATGTACAGAAATGGATCATTATGCATGGATGTTAGGAAAAAAAGACTAGCATTTTAACCCAAAGTCTCAGTGCATGAGTTCCCACCAACCTGTGTCCCATGCAATGTGGAGTGACTCCCTCTCGCCATTGCCACCGCACATGCACAGTCTCGCACACACACACACACGCACGCACGCATTCGTGGGCCCTTCCTCGCTCATTACTTTCCAGGTCCCTGAGGTGATATTAGTGAAACAACAGCTCCTAGTGTGATGGAAGTTTTGTTTTTGTATTGTAACCCCCACGCTGTTCTCTCGTAAAGATGCACCTCTTGGTTTCTCCCCGCAGTTATGACTGTGTAGACTCTGTGCAGTTGTGGTTATCGTAGCCCTGTAGCATATCAACTCTTCCAAGCAGCCAAGGGTTTATCATTTGCCTTTTTAAAAAACCTTCTGTCTTCTTTTTACACTGAGGTGGTCTCTTTGTCAGCGTGGGGACTGGTTTATTACATTTACTGGAGTTAGCTGATGCTCATTGCCCATCTCTGCCAGCAGCCAGCTACCCAGGACACTCGTGTGGCACACTGGTCACCTGGGCTAGAGGTCGCTTTGCTTATCGGAGTCCAGTTGTGGGCACCTTTTGCCAAGGCTGGTTGAGCGCTTTATCACCAGCCTCCTCTGAGTGTGTAGCATTAGCTCTCAGCTTCCCAGTACACCCAGAAATGCGAGTGTACTCTGAAGGACTTCCCTCCGGTGCTCCTTTCCCTGAGGCTCCTCCGCGGCTGCTGCCCTGCTGCTGGGCTCGTCCCCTGCCCCACACTTTCAGCCACCGGCAGAGCTCATTTGGTAGTTCCCCATGCCGGGGTGCAGCATTTGGCCCCTGCATGGGTAAGCCTCTGGTGAGACCCGGGATGCCTGCCCAGAGACCACCAGCCAGGTCACCGGCAGCACCAGTAAGGCCTGACTTGATGGTATGGCCAAAATCCATCGTTTGTTGTTTTTTTTTCTTGCTTGCAGTTTGTGTCAAAGGCAAGGGAAGGCCCATTAGCTTGAACCAAGTGGGGGCAACTTCTGCTCCGCTGTGGCATCCTAGCCCCCTTGACTTCAATGGAGCTAGCTCCCGCTGACAGAAATGAGAGAGAAAACCATGGTCCGCTCTGTTCAGAAAATGGAGAAAAAACACTTGATTTAGAGACAGCCCATCAATGGCAGAGAAGTTCTTTGTTTTTTTTTTTAAAAAACAGCATTAGCGGCTGAAAGCCTTAACCCGCCTCCCACCTATGTCAAGAAAAGCTTTTCCATTGGCGTGGCCGGGACACCATGGGCCACTGCTTTGGAGAACATCCCAGCACTTACGGAAGAGGGGTGGACGTGGCCAGCCTCTTTGGTTTGGTTCGGTTTTCTTGCTCATTTTTGGGGCCAGAATTTTCAAATGGAAGTGCCTGGTATCAGGCACCAAATGTGGGGGATTCCGGTGCGGTGGCAGGGGGTGAGCTGCTCTGCTCTCGCTGCTTCTCGAAGGAAGGAGAGGGGCCAGGTCCCGCCAGGCCCAGGAGAAGGTCACCACCCTCTATGCCTGCTGAGGTGCCCGGCAAACGCCCTTCTCTCCAGAGGTGCTAAGTAAATCTTGCTGAATTCAAAGGGCCACTTATTTAGGTGTCAAAATAGACTTGAATGGCTGATTTTGGGTACCTACCTTTGGAAAATCTGGCGTTTGAGTCTTTGAACAAGCCTAGACGTTTTCCTTCTGAAACCGTGTAAAACAGATAAAGGTCCAAAACAATTACATAGTTATCATTTAAACACTTGATCTAAACGAAAGGTCTAAAAAGGTGACATTTATGCAGTTCCTAGTCACAGGTTTGGGGCTTGATTTAATGATTTTGTAAAAAATTTTCTCTTGAGAATCATCGGGTAGTTGACCACTGCTTAACTCCAGAAATTTTTGTGCCACCGCTTCAAAAAGTTACCTTTTAGGTCATGTATTTCTCTAAAATGATGTCATTGCTTGGCAATCAGTGTCCTGTAAGTGTTTCTAGTACACGATATACCTTAGGAATTGCCAACAGATGCGAAGGGGGACCAGATACATTTCGTTACTATGGGTTGGAAAAAATGGATTGTACATTTGGCTTCACATGTTAAACTTTTTTTTTAAAAAAAGTTGCATGATTGGAAAAAATATGTATACAGTATCTGTAAAACTGTTTTATCTGTTTTTGTTTCAAGCCATGTAAATTGGAAGAATATTAAATCCACAGCCTTATCGCGCATGGCCGTCTTTACATACCGAAGAGCTGAACAGTTTATACTTTTCATTTGGGCTATCTTGTACTTTCATTTGAAAGCAGACACTCTCATGTTGCAGTCTTACTGAGGATTTTATATTAAAAAAAAAAAAAAGAAAAAAGAAAAAAGATGCTGCCCTGGAGGAATATACTACCTTACTACACAGAGGTTGGAAGGAAGTTTGATTTGGAGCACAACCTGCCCCTTTCCAAAGGAAGTAGAGATGCAGTGCTTACTCCACTTGGTGTTAGTAGATATTGCCTTGTGTATTCCATTTTAAATTGTAATCTAGTTTGTAAAAGAGATGGTGACGCATGTAAATAAAGCATAATGGATCTCTACATTGCACATTGGCTTTCTCTCTGTTTTATTGTGGCGTGGACAGACATCTAAATACAGGACCTGGAGAAGGGATGACTTCCAAGCAGCGGGTGAAACCGGCTGGTGGGGGGGTCTGGGGAGGGGGCCTGATCCTGCATCCCCTAGAGTCTGTCAACGCGTATTTATGTGGGCCTCTGCACTTCACCCCTTCAGCCAAGCCAGTGTAGTTTTTGGTGGTCAGCTAACCCCCGGTGGGATCATTTACTCCTGCTAAAAATCACAAAGTTCACTTGATTTTGGGGTGGGGTGGGTGGGGGGGTTGTCCCCTGGGATGGTGGCAGCACTCTGCAGTTGCAGCCCAGCTCGCCCATCCTGGGAGACAACCAGCCCAACTGCAAACTGGTCAGAAGTGTTACATGCGCACCAGCACACCCCCCCACCGACCCCCCCCTCCGCAGCTGTGGGCTTGGCTGGGTTTCAAACTGTCTTTGAAAAATGCCTGGAGTACTTGAAACCACACGTTTGGGATTTGGGATAAGAAAACCAGCAGCCTGACTCTGCGGAAAGTTAGACCGAGGGCTCTGGCCAAGGCACAGGAGAGCGTGCTCAGAAACACGAGCCATGTCAACAAAAAACTCTTCTCCCACCCTGACGGGGAGCCACAGATGGATATGGGGTTTTGGAATCATTTTTCAAGAGAAAATGATATTATCAAGGAAGAGGAGCCTTCTGACGCAGCAGGGAGGGCTTTCCCATGACTCTGTGGGGACAACCACTGTGTTGTCCATGCAAAGCCCATGGGAGCTGAAGTACTGTGGTATAAGGAGCAGCTGGGGGATCCCTTGTTTAGCATAGTAGGGGCTATTCAGGTTTTGTCCTAACTAGAGAGAGCCTAAAATATTGCGAGATCCAGTCAGAAAACAGCCTTTGACCAGCATGAAGTGTGCGTCTGCCTTCCCAGCGTGAGAGCGCGCTTGTCCTCCAGCAATTACAGCTTCTCCTCTGAAACGGAGCTGTTTTGCTTGGTTTTTCTGAAGGCTCCTCCAACAGTGCTCTGGCAGGGAAGGACCTGCGTCCTCCACCTCGTTGGCATCGCCCCGCTGGTATTTCGGAGGAACGATGAGACCATTTGGCCCGGTGAGCTGTTGGGTGGAAGGGCCTCAGCTTTGACCTGAGTTCAGGCAGGGGCAGCAGCAGCCACGATGAGCTGATCAAACCCCCTGTGCGAGTTTTGTGCTGAACCTACTTGGTTGTGTTGTGCAATGCCTTAGCTGTGACCTTCAGTTCACCCGGCCTTGGAATAGATCATTCTTA